AAAAAAATTGAGACAGCATCTCACTGAATTGCTAAATTGTCTGGGTTGGGCTTGAACTTGAGACCCTCCTGCCTCACCTTCCCAGAATGTTGGGGTACAGGTGTGTGGCAGATCTTGTCTGGCCCAACAGGTTGACATACTTTTTCTGTAATGGGCAGCTAGTAATTATTTTCGGCTTTGGATACCACATATTCTCTGTTGCAACTACTCAACTCTGCCTTGGTAGGGTGTCTTAGTTGCTTTTCTCATTGCCAGGACAAAGTACCTGATACCCACAAGTTAAAGAAAGAAAGGTTTATTGTAGTTCACAGTTTATAGAATTACAGTCCTTGTTGACTGGCTCCAAGGTAGTAGGGCAAGGCAGGAGGGGATGGGAGAGGGAAAACAGTCCATAGCATAGCAGACGGGGGATGGCAAAGCAGTAGCAGTGAGCCTCCCTTTCCCTTTTATTCCATCCAGTCTACAAGTCCTTTGGGTGGTGCCACCCACGCCCAGTGTGGGCCTTCCCATTGTCCACACGCAGAACTATGGTAAACCAGTGAACTAATTTGCTATCACACACTCTTAATCCCAGTATTATATACTCACGATCCAGCCAGCTCTCAAAAGCCCCACCTGTGAGTGCATAAGGCTTTAGGAAGGCATTGAGATGTAAGCCACAACATGGCAGAATCAGGCATAGACAACATGTAAAAGAAATAGTATGGTTTTGTTCCCCATAAGCTTTTTTATGGCACTGAAATTTGTATTGCATTTCATTTTATATTTGTACTTTTGATTTTTTCCCCTCAAATATATAATGTCATTATTGGCTGCCTACCAAATAAAAATAGTCAGTGGGCTGTATTTGGCCCATAGGCCATATTTCACTACCTTAAGTCTGACTCAGGGGATCTGGCAGCGTCTCTTCCTTATAATTGCTTTTTATGGTGTTTAAAGGACATATGTTTTAAAGGGAAAGAGAAATGCAACTTTTATCATCTCATAGATACCTTTGTATTTTAGGTCTAGCACCTTGGTTGTTACTTTATGAAGGAAATAATTAAAATGTATTTGTTTATCCAGTGATGAATATTCACTCACTTGTATTAAATTTATATTTTCAAAAAACTTTATTTCCCTGCTCCACTTTGCAGTAATAGCTTTTATTTTAAAACCTTCATCATAACACAACATTTATGATGACATTTTAAGTAGCAACTAAAATTGTCATTGGTGATATTGCATTTGGATACAGGCTCCAGAAAACTGGACAAAGAATGGCTTACCTTATTAGATGCTTATTCTGTAGTGAGGAAAAGTTAGAGTAGGCCGCGCAGGTAAAGCCTGGGCTGGCTGCTGTGAGTGTCACCGAGACCTGGACTCCTGCTTTCTGCTTGGCCAGGCGTCGTGTATGGTGCTTGTTTTCTTGTTGGTGAATTGGTTTCTGGACCATAGGCCCCATGTCTGCAGTTCCACAGGGAAGGGTGGAAGAGGGCGAGAGCAGAAGAGGGCAGTGTTTTCTCTCAGTTCCTGGACTGGAGCCCCTGTAAAACCAGCTGTCTTGCATCTCATTGGCCAGGACTGTATCCTGCGAGCCTCTTCAGCTACAGTCATTTGTGTAAAAAGGTTTCTGTAGCTGAGCACGCTGCTTTTCTAAACAAAGCAGATTTTTGCTACTAAAAGGAAAATTGATTACTGGGTAAACAGCAGTTGTCTGCATAGCTTGAATAAGAACCACATGTGAGTTGACAGGTGCCCCCTTGCATGGATAAATTGGCACTGACTGGTGTCCCGCAGTTTACTTTCGTATTTGCTCTGTGGACTTTTTAAAATCATCAGTTACAAGGTGTATTTTATTTAGAAAAGTTGAAGTGTGGGAAGAATGAAAGTCTTCCTACAAAGGAACTGGCTGTGTGCTGTTCCGTGAACTCTGGGATCATGCGCCGCACATGAAGTACCCTAGCTGCTTCCTGTTGCCCCTCGGGAAGCCCTTCGGTTACCTGGGGCACCCTGCAGCCCACAGTTCCAGGCCACGGCCGCTTCTGCTGATTTTAAAAACAGCTGGCTAGTGTGACTCACCTTCCTTCCTGATGCTAATGTCATAGACATCCCCGGGAAGATGTCCTTCTCTGATTCAGATTTCTCCCAGCTTCTGTATTTGCGTGTGTTGCTGTAGTGTTGGCTAATTCTCTATGGTTTTGGCTGCCTGTGCCCCTTCCCATTACTTCCCTTCGGTTATCTAGCCTTTCCTGTAAGGTAAGGACCCATGGAGACCGGTGACTAAGGAAAGGCCTTGAGTTGTGCTTTTAAAGTGGAGACACTCCTTGCATTTTACACTTTGCAATTCTCTGCTAGTCATCACCATGGTTAGTAGGAACAATCCTTTTCCTTCTGAGCATGGTTAGTACTGTTGATGTATTTAAATTTTAATATTGTATGATTATTTTTCACATGCAGTTTGGAGATAATGGTCACAAGGAGATAAGGAGGGAGTCGTGGCAGTGGTGGTGAACCATGTGTGCCAGCACAGGCTGTTACCACTGAAAGCTCTAAAAGGTTCACCCTCACTGGTGTATGGAATTTCATTATAGCAGCTGGAAGATACTTAGACAAATACTGCTTTCATTATTTTTAGTGATAAAAGTTACAAGTATCCTAAATATCCAGCAATAGAGTAGTAACTAACTGTGTTTGCGTATGATGGAGTTTTCAGGTGGGTATTAAAGTTCATACTTTTGGAAAGTGTTTCTTATCTGAGGATTGTATTAAGGTTAAATTGTTGACTGAATGGGCAGCACTGCAGTTCGTTTTACCAGTGTGAGCCTGTGAAGGGAAGTCCAGTTGTGCCATAGGCATTTGTAGTGATAAGTTTGTGTGTGGTGTGTGCATGTGTGTAGATCTGTGCGTCTCTGTGTGAACAGGGCAGGTAGGAGGGAAAGTAAGGAAACTGCATTATCTTCAAGTTTCCCAGTGATGAGAAAGGATTTTTTTTAGGATGAGTTTTTAAGTAGTCACATTTTTCAGTAAAAGTGGCTGTTATGTACATTATTTACAAAAACAAAGCTTGATTATGTATTAGTTTCATGTTTTTCACTCTAATAAACATTTAAAATAAGGTAGCTATGGAGCTGTCATATACACGGAAAGTCTGGGCTCATTCCTCCCAGTTTTGGCAGAGGCTGCCTGGCTAGTGGGATGATAGGTCATTGTTCTATGATTTCCAAAGCAAGTAACTTCTTTCATCATGGGAGAAGCTGGATCATGAAAGATACGCTAAGACATAATCCGTTAATACAAGAGCAGTGCATCTCCAGGAGAATAATAATGAGGAAAAAGACATGATTGTTTTCACAAGAACTCATACTAGCTGTAGGGTCATCAAAGTAGGTGGCCTCAGTTCCCTTGTCTGTAAAACAGGAGCAATAAAATCTTCCTTTAGGCTTTTAATGAGGAATTAAGTAGAATGGAAAATACTTTTTTGCAAGTTGAAGTTTCAAAATAATACAGTCGCATTTCTGAAATTGTGTTATTGGTTGGGGACAAGTTAACTTTTTCAGAAATGAGAAATAGCTTAATTGAAGAAGTCAGGATAAAGCTATTACCAATTTACATACATAACAATACGGTAATTTTCTTGTCTTACAGTATCACAAGGTTTAAATGCCTATTCTATTTTGCCAGCTTTTTGTGTCCGTAAGAAACATACTGTCTTATTATTCTTGAACTTCAAATCCTTTGCTTGAGAAGCATGTAACAGACTTGCATCCGCAGAGCCACGTATTATTGAGGCTTTTGGGGGGACTTTGAGAGGAAGGGGAGGCAAGAAGTATGTGAAAGATTGTTTTTCAGGCATTTTCTTTTCTATGTTGAGAGGTCTTTTCTGTTGAGAGATCAAAATGATTCTTTTCCCTGACTTTTATAAAATTTATTTTACCCGTTAAGCTTGTTCTTTGTGTAGATTGTCCAGAATCACTTAGAACAATCAAGTTTGTTTTATGTCTTAAATGCCATGTTGAAGACTTTGCGTATTGTCATCCCTCTTAGTTAACCCATGCCTTTAGGCAAGGAAGGTGGGTCACATCTGGAAGACCTGCAGATGTGTGGGCAGCTCCTCAGGAGCTGACCCCTGTGATGGAAGGAGGGACCTTGGAGGGTCAGAGGAGTGAAGAGCGTGAGTTGATGTTTATGGTTGTTTTTTAGCTGGCAGTGGAGAGCGTCTTCATCTTGGGAGTTGAAAGGTGCTCCCATGATGGTGGTTAGAGCAGTGGAGGGTGAAAGAGGCTGCTGAAAGAAGAAAAGCATTGCTGCTCCAGAAACCTATGAAGTGCTGGCCTCTTAGGGTGTGCTGTTCATGGTTAAGGCAGAGGGAGCAATGTCTCCTGGGGTAAAGATGGGATGGACAGTGGTTATGGCCCACGGAGGACTGAATCTGAGCCCCCTTGGTATGTGCCCCCAGGCATCCAAGTGGAAACTAGGTGGAAACATCACCGTTGGTCCTTGTCTTGCTTACTTTTCTCTCATTGCTGGGACAAAATACTTTACACCCAAAATTAAGGAAGGAAAGGTTTATTTCGCTTACAGTTTGTGGAGGTTTCAGTCCATACTTGGCAGGTTACAAGGCAGAGTGGCACATGGCAGAGGGCTATAGCTCATGGTGGCAGAACACAGCCAAAGCAACAAGCACCAAAGGGAGGAATGGCCGCAAGCAGCCTCTTCCTCTCCCTTACATATGCAAACTATCCACTCCAGGGCGGGTGTAGCTCTCACACCCATAATCAGTCAAACTCTAAAAGCCTGCCCCATGACCACATGAGGCTTTAGGGGGACACACAGACACAAACCATAACAGTCCTGTACGGAACACCAGTGAGTGGCCAGAACTGGGCGCCTGTGTAAAGTCCCCCTCGTATCTCTGACTATGAGAAACTGAATCCAGTTCTTTGTGGAAAAGCATCCTTATGGTTCCACATGAGCATTTCTCCTTGTTTGTCTTCTCTCTACAGATAAAGAAGAAGCAGCAGGATGTGGTTAGATTTCTGGAAGCCAACAAGATAGAGTTTGAGGAGGTGGACATCACAATGTCAGAAGAACAGAGGCAGTGGATGTACAAGAACATCCCCCCAGAAAAGAAGCCTGCTCAGGGAAACCCTCTGCCCCCTCAGATATTTAATGGCAACCAATACTGTGGAGTAAGTGGCTGATTGTTCTCCCATTCCTTCTGCATGGTACTCATTGCACATGGTCACCGTGTGTATTTGGGCTTCCTCCGGTGAAGACTGCATCCTCCTCACTGGGCCTGTTCAGCTCCACAGGCCCAGTGGGCTGGAGATGAGAGGGTACCTGAACCCCAGCCACAGACAGTACGAGTGCAGAGTGTTGTGTCGTTTGTGAACTTGAGTACACATGTGCCTCGGTCCCTCACTGCTTTGAAAGGGGACAGGACGGGAAGCTACATATGAGATAATAATGTGTTGTCAGTTTTAAAGTGTATCTTTCAATGATTCTGTTTTGGCGGGCAGAGTAAAAGAGGTAATTATTCTTGAATCTATAGCTCTGTGGGATAAGTAAGTACTGATAGCTGGTTATAAGCCAGAGTCCCTTTTTTATGATTATGCACAAGAGGGATCACTAAGAACATGTAAAGTCTATTAAGTGCTTTCCTGATTTGTGTAGCATATAAGAAGAGAAAGTCAATTTTATCTAATTGTCTACCTGTCTTCTTATTCCTTAGGTTAACAAATTTTGAGTAGCTTAGTGTTTGCCTCTTTCTCTCTCTCTCTTTCCCTTCCTCCCTCCCTCCCTCCCTCCCTCCCTTCCTTCCTTCCTTCCTTAATTGCTTTGTAGTTCTGAGAACGCATGTTGGCATTTATTTTGGGACTACAGTTCTTTTAAAGATGGCCCAGCGGAGGAGCTGTAGTGCTGAGGAGCTTGAGGCGAAGCATAGAGCTGGGCTGTCAATAGGATGGAGGAGAGAGCCCTCCCCCGAGGAGGAGCAGTTGGGATGCAGCTGTGAGGACACTGCACACAGTCTTCTGACCTGTAGCATTTTGAGTAGAATCCTAAACATGACACTAGAAATGACTTTGAGTTCTGTCACCACCTTATATTGGCTGGGACACCCTAGAATGCCACTCTTTAAGTCTTGGTCCTCTCCTCGTCAAGCAAGCGGTGTTAGTATCTGTCTTACCACGCAGGATGTTTGTGACTGTTTCTAGATCACTTCTTAAAAACAGAAGTTATTATTTTTGTGGGGTTTTTTAATATCATGATTACATAGTTTATTGGGGAAAGTACATGTAACCAAAGTGTACGCTATTCATGGTTACAGAGGATAGAAAATACACTGTTGTACCACAGTTAAAAATATTTGTAAACTGTGCAGGTCAGAATGAAGCTGTAAGCCACACAGTGCTAGAGAGCTTAAGCAAAAAATCAGTAGATTTTTTTTTCACTTCGTGTTTTGCACATGTACAAATGCCTTCACGCTAGTTGGGTATTTTGAGGTATAGTTTGTAGGTATGGAATTCCAGGTCTTAACTTCGCACTGATGCCCCCAGAACCCAGTCACCTTCTAAAAGCCCTACCTTTGAGCTCATGAGGCGTGGGGGGACATCCATGTGCAAACCCTAACACCCCAGTGCCCACTGCCCTCGTATTGTGCACCCAGCTCCTTTCTAACACCAATCATTACGTCCTGTTTCTCACTCAAAACTCCATCAGATGTGCTTGTTTTTACCGTCTCTAGCGACTATCTTTGGCCTTTACTCCCTGCCTCCATCTGCAGCAAACCTGTGCCCTTTTGCTGTTTCATTATGACGTTTACCTCTTAGAACTTTCCTTATGTCTTTGCCCTCACTTGGCTGTGAGTGCCTTGTCATGTTCTCTGACCTGTTTATCTTGGTATCTGGTAGCAGCATGGAACACGCTTGAAGAACGTTGGCTCTGAACGGGTGCCACTGGTGCAGGGTTGTTGGCCAAGGGAGGGAGCAAGCTGTGCCCTTGGGTCCTCCCGTGTTAGGGTCTGTGCATGTACTCTGTATAATTTGATGTGTGTTAGGCTAGACCCCGCTGTGTTCCTCTTTTATCAGCTTGATCAAAAGCAAGTTTACTTAACTTTCTAAACTTTTACATTGGAATATGGGAAATGATTTCTGTAGGAAAACTTACCTACCTCACCTGTACAATTTTCTTAGGAAATCTTTTATCTGAATTTGAGGTCCTTCTGTCTAAAAGATCAGTTATCTAATGAGTTATCAGGAGACTCTCCAGCAAATGTCTTACTGTAAATATTCTTATGTGGCATCCTCCCAGATACCAGGAAGGGAAGAGCAGAGTGGTGCAAACCTACGTATAGATTCTTCCGTATCACTCAGTACTGATCAGCTATATGCCCCAAAGCATACAATTCGATCAGATACTCTTTGCAATTTTATCTCTTCTGTAAAATTGTAGTTTTTATTCTTCTGTCTATAAATATTTAATCTGTCATTTTCACCTTGCTGAGATGTTTGCCTCAGTATCCTACAGCAATGAATCCTTGAGATGTGACTTTCATAAAATGACGACTTGTGCTGTGAATGTTGAAAGCCTTTGTCCAGGTGGTTTGGGGCCACCTCAGAACGTTTAGCAGTATATCTAAATAATGGCTACGGTGGTACTTGTTCTTGGTAGCATTCTTCTTTCATTCAGAGCTTTATGCAGTTACAGGCAAGGAAAAGTGAGCACTGCTGCTGTAAGACAACAAGGCCATGCTGAGATCAGTGTTAAGACAGTAGCCCCATCAGAGGAGGCTGACAAATGAAAAGTTGGTTTTCCTTTGCCCTTTTTTCATATGTGACCTCTCCTAATTCCCTCTTCATTAAGCTTTGCCTTGTCATTTTCTGAATTACTTCAGCTCTGTGTCTTGTATTTAATGTATATATTCTGTGATTTTACAACTTGAACAGTATGTACTTTGAAAAATGAAGGGAAGTTCGTGTTCTTACAGTTTCTCTCATTTCTCTCCATGCTCATACACAAATATACAGTACTGCTGAAGTTTATGTCATACTGTCTGCTGTAAGTATAACAGACACTATGTAAATGTCTTGTGTTATATATATTTATATCTATATAATATACTGCTACCTATAAAACTGCTTAGCAGTTAGCAGCCCCAAGGGAGGGCATATAATCCTATTTTACTGAATCCCAGTGGCTTAATGGAGAATGACAGAAATGTCAGTATCCAAGGAATCTTTAAGTGAAGTTTAACCATTTCACTTCCTCACCTCACACTTGTCTGGCAAATATAGAAGAGATATTTTCCTTTGTATTATTACTTATTTGCTTTCTAGAAAAATATTTTGTTAACATGGCATGCCCACCCAGTAAACTTCCTAATTTTTTTAAAAAGCCTGTTTTTTTTTTTTTTTTTTTACAAGTTGGCATTTTATTTATTTATTTATTTTATTTTAAAAATAAAAGGAGGAAAGCATTAACAGACAATCTTTTACAGAATAGCAAAAGAACAGTACAAACAATGTAGAGTTACAAACAATGTTTGTTGTATTACATATTGATAGCTTCAAAGTGGTTTCTCATGAAAACAAATAGAGACGTGCAATATTGATCAATCAAGGACTCATTATTTAGTTTCATTCTTAATGGATAATTTCATCAAATATAAAATTCTAAATTTAAAATCATTCTCTCAGGAAGCATTAGATCTTGTAGGTAAGTTATTTTACTTCTTTGTCTGGACTGAGGTTTTAGGGTTTTACTGTTTTTTGGTTCTGGGATTGATAGTTGGTAAGAATTTTCAGTCTGAAAATTAATATAGTTTTCATTTTAGAGAAGTTCTATTAATTCTTTTACTTTTTTTCTCGTCATTTCATTGCGTTTTTTCTTTACCTGCAGAGTGTTTTGTTTTGTTTTGGTGGTGTTTTACCCTTGTGTTCTAACTATCAATGCTTTTAGCCTGCCTACAAATTTCCATCTGTCTTGACACTGTACATCTTCAGAGGCATTTTTAAATTTTATCTTCTGGATCACTAGTTTGTTTTTCAGTCCTATGTCATTCTGTTATTTAATCTATTTGTAAAAATTTTAATTTGATAATCAAATTTGATTTTCAGGAGTCCTTTTGTTGCCTAATCACTTCTTTCTTTGTTTCTTTTTTTCAGTCTTTTTGAGGCAGGGTCTCGCTATGCAGTTCAGGCTGGTTTTGAACTCACTTTGTAGCCCAGGCTGGCCTTGAATTTTCAAAGATCCTCCAGCCTCAGCATCCTGAGTGCTGGGGTTACAGGCTTGTGCCACCATGCCTGGCCTAATCACTCTTAGAAATAATGGCTTGTGCTTGTTTGTGGATGCAGTGTCTTCTTTAGTATCTCCAGGGATATCAATTAAAAGGGTTTTTAAGGTTCTTGTGTTCTATTATCTACATTCGTTGGTTGTCATTTGGTCTTTCTCTTGGCCCTGGTTTGACTTTTCCCCAGACTGGCACATGCCTGTTTCCCAATGAGTAGGAGGGAAACAAGACTAATGGGCTGAGGACAAGCAGACCGGTACCCCGAATGAAAGAGTGTTACAAAGGCAGCAAGGGACCATGTGTAGCTTTCAGCGGATGCCTCGTGTGAGTTCCCCGTTTCTGTGTCTGATGGGAGTTCAAGGGTAGTCCAGGCTGAAGGCCCTGCTGCAGCAGGAGGCCACAGTGGTCTTTGGAGAGTGCTTCCTCAGAGGCCTGACCGCACTTCCCCTGCAAGGGAGGATGGCTGCGTGCCCATCTCCTCACTTGGATGTGCCCACCGTGCCCCTCCAGCTCACTGTCGCTCATCTCAGGCTTGTGGTTTCTGTGGGGCTTCTTTGCGAAGGAGTGTCCGGTGGTGTGGGGTGTAGTTTCCTCTGCTGTTTCCACTCTCAGTCCAGTTGTATTTGCTGTATATCTTGTCTTAGTTACTTTTCTTTCATTGCTGAGACAAAATACTCGACACCCAAAGTTAAAGGAAGAAAGGTTTACATATTTAGCTCACAGTTTGTAGAGGTTTCAGACCATAATCCAGTGGCTCCAAGGCAGGGTGGTACATGGCAGAGGGGCAACTGTTCATTGTAGCGGAAGACAACAAAAGCAACAAAAGAGGAGAGATGAACCTCTTTCTGTCCCTTATATTTTGTCTACTCTACAGGAATTAGGGCAGTGCCAATCCAGTCA